TGAAGTTCACGGAAAACATTTGCCAACTGATTTACAGTAATGCCTGAAAATTTATTATTATTTCTAAAGTTATTTTAGCTATACTTATAACTAGGTATATTAAACTTATAACATTTTTATAGATTATTTCTATCGCAAATACAAATAAAGTTATAAATTTTTAAAGTGCACACGAACTTTATGGAGACCATATATATATATATATATATATATATATATATATATATATATATATGGTTGTATCAAAATTTTTTACAAACATTGGTTTGCGGGTTCCTTACACCTAAACAAGGACAAAAGTCCCTATATACATATGACGGAAAAATCAATCATTTTTGAATTATTAATTTTAAAGTAAGTTTACGGGAGATGGCTCTGTGTTGCCATGTAGACCAGGTTACATTTGTCATTCGTGTACATTTGTGGCTAGTATGTCTTCACTTTTTAACGTGCGTAGTAGTTAGTTAACTGAGAAGAGTTCAGTTTAACAATTCATATCGTGCCCACATAACTATGAATTTTACATGCTGACGTGCGAATAATAATGGATATGAGGCTGCATGGCTGTATCAGATTGCATTTCCAGACCAAAGGCATCCGAGTCATCCAACTTTTACCCGCGTTTTATCGTGGCGTTCCTCAGACAGGATCTGCGGCAGCGCAAACTGTGGATCACAGAAGACCAGGATCCGTTTGTACGCCTAACCACGGACTGTCAGATGCGACCTAGCATATCGTACATCTCATCGGACAATATGGTTGGTACTTTAAGAGCAGCTCCTGCATCCGTATCATTTGCAAAGCTTGCAGGGTCTTTCACCATCTGATCCCTCAACAGGGAAGAACTTTTGCCGATGTTCTGTTGAACAAACTGCCGATCCGTTGTTTGTCTTACGGAGGAGGCAACATTTGCAAGAGATGGAATAACAAATTTACACAACCAACATTTACCGGCGCATCGTAATCCTCATCGTACAATACAGTCTAGACACCAGAATGTGGGCTGGAAATGTAGGCGACTGTCTTCTAGATTCATATGTTCTCCCATCACGTCTTACAGGAACTATTTATTTC